CTGTCCCTGTTGCAGCCATTATTTTTAGTGGATCACGTGGAGAACGTGTGCAGCGCCAGCAACGAGTGCCAGCAACTGCTGTTGGAGGCCTTCAAGTGGCATTTACTGTCCCCCGAGCGCCGTTCGCTCATTGCTGCCACTGAACGAACCAAGCCCCGTAAACACATTTGCTGCGGATTGCTTGCTGTGGGTGGCACGGATGAATCCTTCAAGGGCGTCACCACCATTGAGAGCTACTGTCCGCATCTGAAGAAGTGGACGACTTGGAAGCAAACGATCGAATACCGTTGTAAGCTTGGCGCCGCTATCAAGAATAACAAACTGATTTTGGTAGGCGGATACCATGAACGGCACACATGGAGCTCTGTGGAGAGCCTTGACCTTAACACGATGGCCTTCGTTCGCCTCAATCCAATGAGAACGGCCCGTTGTAATGTAAGCGTTGCGGTGCTGGGTGGACACCTCTATGCGGTCGGTGGAAACGGTGACGATGGTTCCATCCTGAGAACGGTTGAACGCTGGGATCCCATTACGCGCACCTGGAGCTATGTGTCGCCGATGTGCACGGAGCGTTCGTCTCCTGGAGTTGCGGTGTTGGGCCTTCGCCTTTATGCTATTGGCGGATCCTTAGATACTCCATCAATGGAAAGCTATGATCCGCAAACAAACAAATGGAGCCGTCGGCCGCCAATGAATCGATGTAAGGGCGAAGTTGGTATCACAGTTGCAAATGGATTTATCTATGCTTTGGGTGGCTCGTGCGATGGTGCTCCCTTGAAAACCGTGGAACGTTATGATCCAACTACCAATACGTGGACACTTATTTGCTCGCTGGCAGCGGAACGCTCTGGGATCGGTTGTGCTCTACTTGGAGATCGTTTGATTGCCGTTGGCGGCTCCAATGGCAACTCTCCGCTCAACGATGTCGAGGAGTACGATTTGGTGCGCAATGTCTGGAATCAATTGGCGCCAATTTCGGTTCCACGTGTCCGCCCCCATGTCTTTAACATTCCAAACATAATACCACCACCACCAGCTCCGTGGACGCCGGTCGCAGATATGGATGGATCCAAACCAGCTTAAGCGTCTTACAAATATGTGATTACACTAAACTATAATAATAATAATGATATTATTACTAATAATAATAATACTAATACTTATAATAATAATAATGACAATAATAATATTAATAATAATTACAATAATAATAATTATCAATTGAATGAGTGAAGAGTTACGTTGCTAAATGCGTTCAGAGTATCTTCAAGTCGAGCTCTCTCGGAGAAGAACAAAAGTGCTAGATTAACGGATACCCTGCAGAGAGCCTGAATACATTATTGTTTGTAGTTGGGTTAGGTTAGGTTAGACGGTTGCTGACACACATATACCACGCTATTCCTGTAGCGTAACCATGCGGGATCTGAATCCATTTCTGTGGCACTCGTGTGCGCTTAGGTCAGGCTGTGTTAGATTTAATAGAAAGTGACTTCGTAGTATAGCGCGCCTTTTTCTTTCTAGAGCAGGGCAGAAGAAGAAGTGTTTCGGAGATTCTACCTCCTCTTCGTCTCTGCAACTTCTCCAGAAATCATTGTAGGGTGCTTGGAGCCTATTCGCATGAATACCCACTAGCCCGTGGCCGGTTACTGCAGGCATTACAGTAGAGTTGTGCAGCCCTACTAAGCAATTGTTTGGAATACACAACACGTTGCAACTTGATCCACTGTTCTGTAAGTACGTGTGCACTTCTAACTGTTGCCCCCACTGCTCAACATCAGTGTTGTTTTTTTCCGTCAAATTTGACACACTGACCTCGACATATTTCAATGGAAGCCAAGACCTATTTTGAGGTGTTGCATCCCTGGAACAATTTAAAGCAGTTTCCACAGACTTAACCTCTTCCTCTTCCTCATCCTCATCCTTCTGAATATCAAAGTGAGCAAATAGCCCGTGTTTTGCGGTCCGCCGCCACGTCACCTGGCGTGGACTGTTCTTTGTTGTTGAGATTTGTAGAAAAAGGAGAGAAGCTATACACGAGGTGGAGTCTGACAGGTAATACGACAGAAAAGGGAGAGAAAGAAGGACAAAAGGAAGTGGAAGAAAAGGGCCACATGCGCATGCGCATATAGAATGAAAACTTATGTTAATAAATTAATATATACACAAATAAAGATAAAAAAGATAAATAAAATAAAATATAATATATAAAATAGCAAACCAGTGGCAACATCAGACAAAATAAACTGAAGAAAGGCCTGCCGCTAAGGAGGGGATCGCCGGGGAGGACTGGAATCCTAACATAACTGTGGCACGCAGCAGACAATCAGCTGATCGTCCACAACCACTAGGGCATCAGTGATGCGCAATGCCTGCAACAGTGATGCTCATTTTTCCCATCAGTTTGCAGCACAAAGAAAAAAGATATCCGCAATATCCGCACAGTCAACACAGTAGCGAGTGGACTAAACTGATACAGAATTTGTTTTTTGTTTTATTTCTGCAAGAAATACAAATTATTGTTGACTTGCCATCCAATATATCGAGGTCGATACCCACCTGAGCCGACAGCCAGCCTTGGTGCTTTCGATAGGCAAGGAGTAAACTCTTGCAAATTGACGTATAACTTACTTTTTTCTAAGAAAAAAATGATTGATTTGAGATTGTGGATATTTATTTCAGGTTAAAATATGGTTTGGGTTTTTATATTTAAATTAAGTTTTATGTTCTAGAGATTTGCGCTGAACTTTAATTAAAGATCTTTAGGTCTTATGAACAATATGGTTCATGCAATGCACGGCCTTATAAACATTTGATCCCAATCGCAATCGGGTTCGTGCAACGAATTCATATTCGGTTGCGTTTGTGATAGTTAAATTACACCATTTTTCTCATAAGGTCACCTATTCACTGCGGCACTTAACAATCAATACAGTGCTAATGATTCAATTTATTTACTAACCAATTACGTTGCTTGTAGCGGTCTCCTTGATTCCCCAAGGAATACCGCTAGTACTCCTATGAGTCAGGATTCGCTGGTCACACTCTCTGGCTAATCACAGGCAAAGCCTCGCTTAGCAAGGATACACGCCTTTCACTTAATTTCAGGGCCTCAGTGTCCTGCGTGATCCTTGAGCCGATCCTTGTACTTTTTACCGTCGAATCATTCTTGTGGCTTACATTTAACCGCACTGTATTGTTGCGCAGACTTTATTGCGTTAATTCTCGTTTAGCTGTGATAACTTCGCTCGGTACGCCCGACTCGCTTCGTAAATTCGCACAGACTCCCCAACTTGTGCTGCGGCGCTCCCTTTATACCCTTATTGGCCACCTTTTGACGAGTCTGTCACCAAAGGTTGCGCGATCTTTTGGTAAATTTCCACTGCCACTTGCTGGCGCTAGTCATTGCCTGCCGCTAGAGTGCAGCAGGGCCGGATTGCTGCCTGATAGACAGTTACTATGAGGGGCGCTTATATTTAATATTTATTATATATTATTTATTCCTGTTAACATTCGAATAGTTTGTATGTTTCATACATATATATGCATATATACATATACCTATATACACATACACATATGCATATATACATGCTCATGACATTCATTATGTTATGTTGTCTTCACAATCTACTGTTTTTTCGGCAGTGGAAGACTTCCACTTTCAAACATAAACGGTCGCCACTCTTTATGTTTGAATGCGCGCTCTCCAACGGCCGCTACATTGTTAGGCATAACGTCGATCGATTAATCGTCGTGGCATTGTGTATGTTGTAAATGGCGTGGAAAAATGAAGACTTAAACGCATTTTCTGATTATGGATTATTTTTGATAGGCGCGAGTGCGTCTTTACTTGTTGAAGAATTGAGAGCAACTTTTGAACTAAGGAAAAATACAAACAGAAAGAAGGAAGACAATTCATGTGTGACCATCTCTTCGATACTAATCCATATAGCGATGCTTAAGTATTAATCGTTGATGCGATATTCAAACATATTTCAACAGTGTACTTGTGCCTTAGTGAGGGTAAATATCGCCAATCATTGACTCCCCACCGATCGATATATCGCGTAGATCATCGATACAACATCGGTTGGCCACCGTTCGCCACGACTGCCATCGCTGTTTTCGGCAATTTCTTCGTTTTGTTTGTTTGCTGGAAATATTGAGTAAAATGGCAAGTGTTGTTTTGGCTGTTCTTAATGAATGCCCATATTAAAACTTTTCATGCTTATTATGTGCAGCTATGCCGCATGCACTACCTGATTATTCAGTTTTTTTTTTTTTTTCATACACTTATTATTTCCAACATATTTTCATACCTGGCACGGATGCCTTGATCCTGTAGCGGCACCCCTGGTGCCACACGATCCGGGATCCTCGTCGGCTTGGCCCCGACTGGGCCTCAGCCATCTCCACTATGCCAGTCAGCTCGTGCAATCCGCTTTCGGATACCGGCTGTGGTGGCGGCGGCGATTCCACTCGAGGCTATCTATCTTCAAATTTTACATACTTATTAAACTTCTACCATAACTTGACCGCCAGGTGGCGCTGAGTACTCCACTCTTCCCTTCGAAAGGTGGTGCTAAATTAACTTATCGATATATTCGCCAACCATTACAGGCATGACAGCAAGGGGGAGTATTCGCGTCTCTATATAGTATATATATTCTTGATCAGAGTTCGTTTAAACAAATCCGTTTGCCAGTCTAAATGAAAAAGTCGATCTCAGAGCTTAAAAGTAATCATATATCAATAAGAAGTTGCAGTTTTTTTATTTGATCGATAACTGCCTTGGTTTCAATTACTTATCGATAAGAATCGATTACCAATAGCAAAATAAAGCACATTTTGCATATACTTTGGCATAATATTGATTATATATTCATGCGCTTCATGCGCATCAGATATCGATACTTTGGAGATATCGGGGCAATGGCAACAAGGTTGCCAGATAGCTTTGAAAGCTTCTTGTTTGCGTATCGGAATAAATTTCTTATACGGAATAAATTTGTATTTTCAGAAAGATTTCGACAATTATCAACAAGCAAATAAAATGTCATCTGTGAATGGGAACCAAGAAGAGAGTCCCACTCGAGACTCGACAGCAGGCGCCATATTGGATTCCAGCGTGGGCAGCCATGCAGACACCTTATTGAAGCGAATGCAGCACTTTGTGGACAACCAGCAGCTGTGCGATGTGGTTCTCATCGCTGGCATTGATGGCAAGCGGGTATCCGCTCATCGCTTGGTGCTCTCAGCATCGAGTGAATATTTTTTGGCCATGTTTGCCGGATCGCTGCGCGAGAGCAAGGAGCACGAGGTGACCCTTGGCGAGGTGCATGGCGATGCGCTGCAGCTGCTCGTCCAGCACTGTTACACCGGAAGTATTGAGCTGCACAAGGACACTGTCGAGACGCTTCTGACCACCGCCAAAATGCTGCAGCTGACATCTGTGGTGACGGCATGCTGCAATTTTCTCGCCCGACGGCTGCACACATCCAATTGTTTGGGATTCGCATTCTTGGCGGAGCAGTACAGCTGCACAGAGCTGCTGCGAGTGGCGCAGGCGTACACCTGCCAGCACTTTATGAAGGTGTGCCACGACCAGGAGTTCTTTCAACTAAACGCCAATCAGCTGGGCAAGCTGCTGTCCAGCGATGAGCTCCATGTGCCAACCGAGGAGGATGTCTTCCACACAATGATGTCGTGGGTGCGCCATGATGCACCCACTCGTGAGCAGTACATACCCGAGCTGCTCGCCAAGGTGCGACTGCCCCTGTTGCAGCCATTATTTTTAGTGGATCACGTGGAGAACGTGTGCAACGCCAGCAGCGAGTGCCAGCAACTGCTGTTTGAGGCCTTCAAGTGGCATTCACTGCCCCCCGAGCGCCGTTCGCTCATTGCTGCCACTGAACGAACCAAGCCCCGTAAACACATTTGCTGCGGATTGCTTGCTGTGGGTGGCACGGAGCGTCACAATTCCAACGTCACCACCATTGAGAGCTACTGTCCGCATCTGAACAAGTGGACGACTTGGAAGCAAGCAATCAAAAACCGGATTTATTATGGCGCCGCTATCAAGAATAACAAACTGATTGTGCTAGGCGGATATAATGGAAGGCAGGTATTGAACTCTGTAGAGAGCCTTGACCTTAACACGATGGCCTGCGTTCCACTCAATCCAATGGGAACGGCCCGTTGTAAGGTAGGCGTTGGGGTGCTGGATGGACACCTCTATGCGGTCGGTGGAACCAGTAACGATAATTCCATCCTGAGCACGGTTGAACGCTGGGATCCCATTGCGCGCACCTGGAGCTATGTGTCGCCGATGTGCACGGAGCGTTCGTCTCCTGGAGTTGCGGTGTTGGGCCTTCGCCTTTATGCTATTGGCGGATCCTTAGATACTCCATCAATGGAAAGCTATGATCCGCAAACAAACAAATGGAGCCGTCGGCCGCCAATGAATCGATGTAAGGGCGAAGTTGGTATCACAGTTGCAAATGGATTTATCTATGCTTTGGGTGGCTCGTGCGATGGTGCTCCCTTGAAAACCGTGGAACGTTATGATCCAACTACCAATACGTGGACACTTATTTGCTCGCTGGCAGCGGAACGCTCTGGGATCGGTTGTGCTCTACTTGGAGATCGTTTGATTGCCGTTGGCGGCTCCAATGGCAACTCTCCGCTCAACGATGTCGAGGAGTACGATTTGGTGCGCAATGTCTGGAATCAATTGGCGCCAATGTCGGTTCCACGTGTCCGCCCCCATGTCTTTAACATTTCAAACATAATACCACCACCACCAGCTCCGTGGACGCCGGTCGCAGATATGGATGGATCCAAACCAGCTTAAGCGTCTTACAAATATGTGATTACACTAAACTATAATAATAATAATGATATTATTACTAACAATAATAATACTAATACTTATAATAATAATAATGACAATAATAATATTAATAATAATTACAATAATAATAATTATCAATTGAATGAGTGAAGAGTTACGTTGCTAAATGCGTTCAGAGTATCTTCAAGTCGAGCTCTCTCGAAGAAGAACAAAAGTGCTAGATTAACGGATACCCTGCAGAGAGCCTGAATACATTATTGTTTGTAGTTGGGTTAGGTTAGGTTAGACGGTTGCTGACACACATATACCACGCTATTCCTGTAGCGTAACCATGCGGGATCTGAATCCATTTCTGTGGCACTCGTGTGCGCTTAGGTCAGGCTGTGTTAGATTTAATAGAAAGTGACTTCGTAGTATAGCGCGCCTTTTTCTTTCTAGAGCAGGGCAGAAGAAGAAGTGTTTCGGAGATTCTACCTCCTCTTCGTCTCTGCAACTTCTCCAGAAATCATTGTAGGGTGCTTGGAGCCTATTCGCATGAATACCCACTAGCCCGTGGCCGGTTACTGCAGGCATTACAGTAGAGTTGTGCAGCCCTACTAAGCAATTGTTTGGAATACACAACACGTTGCAACTTGATCCACTGTTCTGTAAGTACGTGTGCACTTCTAACTGTTGCCCCCACTGCTCAACATCAGTGTTGTTTTTTTCCGTCAAATTTGACACACTGACCTCGACATATTTCAATGGAAGCCAAGACCTATTTTGAGGTGTTGCATCCCTGGAACAATTTAAAGCAGTTTCCACAGACTTAACCTCTTCCTCTTCCTCATCCTCATCCTTCTGAATATCAAAGTGAGCAAATAGCCCGTGTTTTGCGGTCCGCCGCCACGTCACCTGGCGTGGACTGTTCTTTGTTGTTGAGATTTGTAGAAAAAGGAGAGAAGCTATACACGAGGTGGAGTCTGACAGGTAATACGACAGAAAAGGGAGAGAAAGAAGGACAAAAGGAAGTGGAAGAAAAGGGCCACATGCGCATGCGCATATAGAATGAAAACTTATGTTAATAAATTAATATATACACAAATAAAGATAAAAAAGATAAATAAAATAAAATATAATATATAAAATAGCAAACCAGTGGCAACATCAGACAAAATAAACTGAAGAAAGGCCTGCCGCTAAGGAGGGGATCGCCGGGGAGGACTGGAATCCTAACATAACTGTGGCACGCAGCAGACAATCAGCTGATCGTCCACAACCACTAGGGCATCAGTGATGCGCAATGCCTGCAACAGTGATGCTCATTTTTCCCATCAGTTTGCAGCACAAAGAAAAAAGATATCCGCAATATCCGCACAGTCAACACAGTAGCGAGTGGACTAAACTGATACAGAATTTGTTTTTTGTTTTATTTCTGCAAGAAATACAAATTATTGTTGACTTGCCATCCAATATATCGAGGTCGATACCCACCTGAGCCGACAGCCAGCCTTGGTGCTTTCGATAGGCAAGGAGTAAACTCTTGCAAATTGACGTATAACTTACTTTTTTCTAAGAAAAAAATGATTGATTTGAGATTGTGGATATTTATTTCAGGTTAAAATATGGTTTGGGTTTTTATATTTAAATTAAGTTTTATGTTCTAGAGATTTGCGCTGAACTTTAATTAAAGATCTTTAGGTCTTATGAACAATATGGTTCATGCAATGCACGGCCTTATAAACATTTGATCCCAATCGCAATCGGGTTCGTGCAACGAATTCATATTCGGTTGCGTTTGTGATAGTTAAATTACACCATTTTTCTCATAAGGTCACCTATTCACTGCGGCACTTAACAATCAATACAGTGCTAATGATTCAATTTATTTACTAACCAATTACGTTGCTTGTAGCGGTCTCCTTGATTCCCCAAGGAATACCGCTAGTACTCCTATGAGTCAGGATTCGCTGGTCACACTCTCTGGCTAATCACAGGCAAAGCCTCGCTTAGCAAGGATACACGCCTTTCACTTAATTTCAGGGCCTCAGTGTCCTGCGTGATCCTTGAGCCGATCCTTGTACTTTTTACCGTCGAATCATTCTTGTGGCTTACATTTAACCGCACTGTATTGTTGCGCAGACTTTATTGCGTTAATTCTCGTTTAGCTGTGATAACTTCGCTCGGTACGCCCGACTCGCTTCGTAAATTCGCACAGACTCCCCAACTTGTGCTGCGGCGCTCCCTTTATACCCTTATTGGCCACCTTTTGACGAGTCTGTCACCAAAGGTTGCGCGATCTTTTGGTAAATTTCCACTGCCACTTGCTGGCGCTAGTCATTGCCTGCCGCTAGAGTGCAGCAGGGCCGGATTGCTGCCTGATAGACAGTTACTATGAGGGGCGCTTATATTTAATATTTATTATATATTATTTATTCCTGTTAACATTCGAATAGTTTGTATGTTTCATACATATATATGCATATATACATATACCTATATACACATACACATATGCATATACACATGCTCATGACATTCATTATGTTATGTTGTCTTCACAATCTACTGTTTTTTCGGCAGTGGAAGACTTCCACTTTCAAACATAAACGGTCGCCACTCTTTATGTTTGAATGCGCGCTCTCCAACGGCCGCTACATTGTTAGGCATAACGTCGATCGATTAATCGTCGTGGCATTGTGTATGTTGTAAATGGCGTGGAAAAATGAAGACTTAAACGCATTTTCTGATTATGGATTATTTTTGATAGGCGCGAGTGCGTCTTTACTTGTTGAAGAATTGAGAGCAACTTTTGAACTAAGGAAAAATACAAACAGAAAGAAGGAAGACAATTCATGTGTGACCATCTCTTCGATACTAATCCATATAGCGATGCTTAAGTATTAATCGTTGATGCGATATTCAAACATATTTCAACAGTGTACTTGTGCCTTAGTGAGGGTAAATATCGCCAATCATTGACTCCCCACGGATCGATATATCGCGTAGATCATCGATACACTGCCATCGCTGTTTTCGGCAATTTCTTCGTTTTGTTTGTTTGCTGGAAATATTGAGTAAAATGGCAAGTGTTGTTTTGGCTGTTCTTAATGAATGCCCATATTAAAACTTTTCATGCTTATTATGTGCAGCTATGCCGCATGCACTACCTGATTATTCAGTTTTTTTTTTTTTTTCATACACTTATTATTTCCAACATATTTTCATACCTGGCACGGATGCCTTGATCCTGTAGCGGCACCCCTGGTGCCACACGATCCGGGATCCTCGTCGGCTTGGCCCCGACTGGGCCTCAGCCATCTCCACTATGCCAGTCAGCTCGTGCAATCCGCTTTCGGATACCGGCTGTGGTGGCGGCGGCGATTCCACTCGAGGCTATCTATCTTCAAATTTTACATACTTATTAAACTTCTACCATAACTTGACCGCCAGGTGGCGCTGAGTACTCCACTCTTCCCTTCGAAAGGTGGTGCTAAATTAACTTATCGATGTATTCGCCAACCATTACAGGCATGACAGCAAGGGGGAGTATTCGCGTTTCTATATAGTATATATATTCTTGATCAGAGTTCGTTTAAACAAATCCGTTTGCCAGTCTAAATGAAAAAGTCGATCTCAGAGCTTAAAAGTAATCATATATCAATAAGAAGTTGCAGTTTTTTTATTTGATCGATAACTGCCTTGGTTTCAATTACTTATCGATAAGAATCGATTACCAATAGCAAAATAAAGCACATTTTGCATATACTTTGGCATAATATTGATTATATATTCATGCGCTTCATGCGCATCAGATATCGATACTTTGGAGATATCGGGGCAATGGCAACAAGGTTGCCAGATAGCTTTGAAAGCTTCTTGTTTGCGTATCGGAATAAATTGCGTATACGGAATAAATTTGTATTTTCATAAAGATTTCGACAATTATCAACAAGCAAATAAAATGTCATCTGTGAATGGGAACCAAGAAGAGAGTCCCACTCGAGACTCGACAGCAGGCGCCATATTGGATTCCAGCGTGGGCAGCCATGCAGACACCTTATTGAAGCGAATGCAGCACTTTGTGGACAACCAGCAGCTGTGCGATGTGGTTCTCATCGCTGGCATTGATGGCAAGCGGGTATCCGCTCATCGCTTGGTGCTCTCAGCATCGAGTGAATATTTGTTGGCCATGTTTGCCGGATCGCTGCGCGAGAGCAAGGAGCACGAGGTGACCCTTGGCGAGGTGCATGGCGATGCGCTGCAGCTGCTCGTCCAGCACTGTTACACCGGAAGTATTGAGCTGCACGAGGACACTGTCAAGACGCTGCTGGCCACCGCCAAAATGCTGCAGCTGACATCTGTGGTGACGGCATGCTGCAATTTTCTCGCCCGACGGCTGCACACATCCAATTGTTTGGGATTCGCATTCTTGGCGGAGCAGTACAGCTGCACAGAGCTGCTGCGAATGGCGCAGGCGTACACCTGCCGGCACTTTATGAAGGTGTGGCACGACCAGCAGTTCTTTCAACTAAACGCCAATCAGCTGGGCAAGCTGCTGTCCAGCGATGAGCTCCATGTGAAAACCGAGGAGGATGTCTTTCACACAATGATGTCGTGGGTGCGCCATGATGCACCCACTCGTGAGCAGTACATACCCGAGCTGCTCGCCAAGGTGCGACTGCCCCTGTTGCAGCCATTATTTTTAGTGGATCACGTGGAGAACGTGTGCAACGCCAGCAACGAGTGCCAGCAACTGCTGTTTGAGGCCTTCAAGTGGCATTCACTGCCCCCCGAGCGCCGTTCGCTCATTGCTGCCACCGAACTAACCAAGCCCCGCAAACACATTTGCTGCGGATTGCTTGCTGTGGGTGGCACGGAGCGTCACAATTCCAACGTCACCACCATTGAGAGCTACTGTCCGCATCTGAAGAAGTGGACGACTTGGAAGCAAGCAATCAAAAACCGGATTTATTATGGCGCCGCTATCAAGAATAACAAACTGATTGTGCTAGGCGGATATAATGGAAGGCAGGTATTGAACTCTGTAGAGAGCCTTGACCTTAACACGATGGCCTGCGTTCCACTCAATCCAATGGGAACGGCCCGTTGTAATGTAAGCGTTGCGGTGCTAAGTGTATACCTCTATGCGGTCGGTGGAAACGGTGACGATGGTTCCATCCTGAGAACGGTTGAACGCTGGAATCCCATTACGCGCACCTGGAGCTATTTGTCGTCGATGTGCACGGGGCGTGTCCTGGAGTTGCGGTGTTGGGCTTTCACCTTTATGCTATTGGCGGATCCTTAGATACTCCATCAATGGAAAGCTATGATCCGCGAACAAACAAATGGAGCCGTCGGCCGCCAATGAATCGATGTAAGGGCGAAGTTGGTATCACAGTTGCAAATGGATTTATCTATGCTTTGGGTGGCTCGTGCGATGGTGCTCCCTTGAAAACCGTGGAACGTTATGATCCAACTACCAATACGTGGACACTTATTTGCTCGCTGGCGGAACGCTCTGGGATCGGTTGTGCTCTACTTGGAGATCGTTTGATTGCCGTTGGCGGCTCCAATGGCAACTCTCCGCTCAACGATGTCGAGGAGTACGATTTGGTGCGCAATGTCTGGAATCAATTGGCGCCAATGTCGGTTCCACGTGTCCGCCCCCATGTCTTTAACATTCCAAACATAATGCCACCACCACCAGCTCCGTGGACGCCGGTCGCAGATATGGATGGATCCAAACCAGCTTAAGCGTCTTACAAATATGTGATTACACTAAACTATAATAATAATAATGATATTATTACTAACAATAATAATACTAATACTTATAATAATAATAATGACAATTATAATATTAATAATAATTACAATAATAATAATTATCAATTGAATGAGTGAAGAGTTACGTTGCTAAATGCGTTCAGAGTATCTTCAAGTCGAGCTCTCTCGGAGAAGAACAAAAGTGCTAGATTAACGGATACCCTGCAGTGAGCCTGAATACATTATTGTTTGTAGTTGGGTTAGGTTAGGTTAGACGGTTGCTGACACACATATACCACGCTATTCCTGTAGCGTAACCATGCTGGATCTGAATCCATTTCTGTGGCACTCGTGTGCGCTTAGGTCAGGCTGTGTTAGATTTAATAGAAAGTGACTTCGTAGTATAGCGCGCCTTTTTCTTTCTAGAGCAGGGCAGAAGAAGAAGTGTTTCGGAGATTCTACCTCCTCTTCGTCTCTGCAACTTCTCCAGAAATCATTGTAGGGTGCTTGGAGCCTATTCGCATGAATACCCACTAGCCCGTGGCCGGTTACTGCAGGCATTACAGTAGAGTTGTGCAGCCCTACTAAGCAATTGTTTGGAATACACAACACGTTGCAACTTGATCCACTGTTCTGTAAGTGCGTGTGCACTTCTAACTGTTGCCCCCACTGCTCAACATCAGTGTTGTTTTTTTCCGTCAAATTTGACACACTGACCTCGACATATTTCAATGGAAGCCAAGACCTATTTTGAGGTGTTGCATCCCTGGAACAATTTAAAGCAGTTTCCACAGACTTAACCTCTTCCTCTTCCTCATCCTCATCCTTCTGAATATCAAAGTGAGCAAATAGCCCGTGTTTTGCGGTCCGCCGCCACGTCACCTGGCGTGGACTGTTCTTTGTTGTTGAGATTTGTAGAAAAAGGAGAGAAGCTATACACGAGGTGGAGTCTGACAGGTAATACGACAGAAAAGGGAGAGAAAGAAGGACAAAAGGAAGTGGAAGAAAAGGGCCACATGCGCATGCGCATATAGAATGAAAACTTATGTTAATAAATTAATATATACACAAATAAAGATAAAAAAGATAAATAAAATAAAATATAATATATAAAATAGCAAACCAGTGGCAACATCAGACAAAATAAACTGAAGAAAGGCCTGCCGCTAAGGAGGGGATCGCCGGGGAGGACTGGAATCCTAACATAACTGTGGCACGCAGCAGACAATCAGCTGATCGTCCACAACCACTAGGGCATCAGTGATGCGCAATGCCTGCAACAGTGATGCTCATTTTTCCCATCAGTTTGCAGCACAAAGAAAAAAGATATCCGCAATATCCGCACAGTCAACACAGTAGCGAGTGGACTAAACTGATACAGAATTTGTTTTTTGTTTTATTTCTGCAAGAAATACAAATTATTGTTGACTTGCCATCCAATATATCGAGGTCGATACCCACCTGAGCCGACAGCCAGCCTTGGTGCTTTCGATAGGCAAGGAGTAAACTCTTGCAAATTGACGTATAACTTACTTTTTTCTAAGAAAAAAATGATTGATTTGAGATTGTGGATATTTATTTCAGGTTAAAATATGGTTTGGGTTTTTATATTTAAATTAAGTTTTATGTTCTAGAGATTTGCGCTGAACTTTAATTAAAGATCTTTAGGTCTTATGAACAATACGGTTCATGCAATGCACGGCCTTATAAACATTTGATCCCAATCGCGTATCCAATGCGATATAACTGAAAGAAATAGAGATATCAGGATTACATGGCATTCGATAGTGCAAATTTAATTATTTCTTTCTGCATTTTTGGCTTTGTTTTAAAATAATGTTTTTACTTCTAGTTCTTATAATTCTTTTTTAATTAATAGAAACCTTTCTAAAAACTGTATAAAAAAGGCTTTCTAATTTTAAGGAATTTTTTTTCGTGTTTTCAAAAATTATTTTTAAATAAAGTTTTCATTTCCACTTTAAAAACAATATTTTGATGGAAGCATTTCCATATATCTACCACTTTCTTTTTTAGAAATATTTCTAAACATCAAATCAAAAAACATTTATTATATTAAGAATTTTCTTTCTTATGTTTAGAAAATATTGTTGTAAATAAGGTTGTCATTTCTTTTTTTTTAATATTTGAATCAAAAGAAATATTTTCAAAATTAAAGAATTTTTAGCATTTTTTTTTTGCTAAATAGGTGTTTTCCTCCTACTTTTTAGAATTTTGTAATATATTCAATTATAAAGTAAAGTCAAGTCTAAGTGTAGCAAGTAATTAAATGAAATACCTTCCTTTTTACCCATAATAACTGGGCAAGCACCATGCAAGGATCTCTTCTCTAAGTCGTAGGTGCCTAGGTCCATGTTGTGCCAGTGGAGCACCTTGCCCCGCTCCGGCTGCACCAACAGCTCCAGATCGGGAAAGATTGTGGCGCCACCTCTGGCCACATCATTGAGCTGAAAGATCAGCAGATGTAGTTTGACTAAAATAAGATTAAATTTCAACCCCATTTACATAGAATAGAACTGTGGCTATGCGATCCTCTAGATGGGGTATGCCCTTAAAATCCCAATGTGGATAGTAATGCCCCCCAAAAACATACTCCATATACTGCACTTCTTGGCTGTTAAAATCGATGAGCAATCCGGACATATCAGCGACTCGCCTCCTAATCCGCTCTAGCAACTCCAATTGCTGCCTGTTGAGATCCAATTCAAATATCCAAACACCGCTTGAGGAGCGTATTGATTTATTTTTACCCTGTTTCGCGATTTCTGTGCGGCTTAGCCTCGATTCACATAATCGCCTCAGTTCGTCAATTTCCGAGTCGTAGATCGCCTCGTGAAAGACAACCACATATGGATCCATGGACAACATTTCCATTTTTAACGGTGCCAGTCGCAAAAATGGTGACGAATCCATTTTGTAGTTACAAATTAGTCGACTTGGTTTTGGTTTATGAGAGGCGCCACAGAGTCGGGTGTACTTTTCATCTGCTTCTTGCATTTCTGGGTCGTGCGGATATTCTGGTTTCTCATATTTCATAAATTCGGCAAGCAACTCTTCAGTGCGAGAATTTAGTTTGGGTTCATTTAATAAAACATCTCGTGCCTCATTCAGGTTGCCTAAGTGCGGAAATTTCCAATAGAGATTATTTTCTTAGTTTTATAGAAATCAACTCTGAAACTTGGAAATGCAAACCCTGATTTACTAAAATTTATTTCGATTTCTCTTGTTTCTCTTGTTTGTATCAAGTATTTCTTGGCTTACCCGCTGCTGCCAGTGAGTTGGCTAAATACCAGGCTATATCACTGCTTGTTACATTCAGTATTTCATACAAATCAGAAGGGGATTCCTTAGCCATTAACTGACGTGCCGTTAATAACCAATTAGTTGCATTCCCCATATCATCCATACGAAAAGAGTGTTTGCCAAGCTCAAAGCAGTCGAGATACGAAAGCCTTGCACTGTGTGTAAATGATTTGAATAATATTTATTCATTCATTCATCCGTTTGAATACCCACTCGTATTGTGTGCCGTCCAGCCAACCATTGGCCATTTCCATTGGATCTAGTCTAAAGGTTACCTGTATGCGATGCATGGCTGCCGCTGCCTCCTCCAGATCCTCAAACTGCGGCAACTGCGCGCGTCTTTCCCTCATATAATCCATTTGTGCTGGGAAATCAAGATATCAAGATAGTTAACGGTATATAGTTAGTTATAAGCTCAGAAAATAATGCATTTAAAAGTTATATTTTCTACAAATCGTGCACTTCTTTTAGTCCACATTAAATTGTAAAAGAATTAATAAATTAATATTAAATAAATAATATAAATATAATATAATGCTGAAAATATTTTGGTTATAGAAATAATTAATAATTATACCGGAAAAAAATGCAAATTGTAAGTCTTTTCTTTTCTTTTTTTTACAAACGTTTTCTATTACAAAGAAATATATAAAATTTAGTAAACAACGAGAAAACAATTCTTGTTTTTATAAATATTTTATAGACATGAAACTAGAAAGGTAAATTTTCCATTTTTATTATGTAGATCAAATACTTTCTAAAACTCAGAAAACAACTTATGAAATTTGCTCTCGTGATTGGTAAGCTAGAATCCGCTTAAGTTAAGTTGTTAAGACTGGACATATTTTTTTTCTAAATTTGACAAAATCGACATATTTTTATTTAAATACTACCTTGCTTTTTAGAAACACACTTTCTGAATAATAAGATGATTTACCCTTCAGTCTAATGGTTTTCTCAATGTACTTTAAGTGCAATATTTACCTTGGACAACAGGTTGTTGCATGACGCTTTCCAGCTGTGTCCAATCGTTGGACATGTGTCGGATGAGTGAAAAAATGTTGAAGGGATTCGAGAGGAATTCTTTCTCACGTCCCATGGCTAATTTCAGTGGATTTGCCAGCTGCTGACTCAGTCTGCAAGAGATGAGATCAGATTAGAAATTAAATAAGAAATTAGATTAGAAATTAGATATTCAATCACCTGCTTAGTTTGTCAATCTTCTGCTGCATTTGATTCACATAATTGTTGAGGTTCTCGATGAGTTCAACGTTGAGTTTGAGCAACTCTAATTTACCACTCATGGATGTTGTATAACTTCGATCAGGAATACTTTCATTCGATTGACTCTGTGCGAGAGTTATTAACATGGAATAATATCGTAATATTCTGAGCCACATCATCTTTGCAACTGATATGGAAGACAATTTAAAAAAACACAATTGGTTATATTCAACCGTGAAAAGCGTGACGAAAAGATTTGAAATGCTTCAAGGTATATAAGAAATGTAACACTTGAAACTGTTTCATAACTAAAATGTTTTTACACTGATATCGAAGGTAGAAGATGGGAAAAGATTTATATAAGGCGCAACAGGTTGCTGAAGAGGCTCATTTTTTATTGTTGGAAACTCATTGCTCGTTATACATAAAGTTGATGATGACTGCAAAGATGAAGAAAATAGGGGTCAGTAAATGAAAAATGTGCTGGGAAAATAGAAAATGTAAAGCTGTTTACCCAGTCTCTTTCCCAGCACATTGGGGCGCACTGTAATCCGAGAGTAGCTGTCATTGAAGACGATCAACGCATCGCCCCGTTGGGGAAAGATGACAATCTCGAGATTGGCCATTGTGATCCCCCCACCAAAATCCTCATCGTTTGAGCTAGAAATGTATGCAAGGCAGATGAGATGAGTTTTGGGTTAAGAGCAGCTAATTGGAAACTTTATTTAAGACTTACAAGGGTAAGAAGGGTATATTGATTTTGTGCAAATGTATGTAATAGGCAGAAAAACGTATCTCCGATCCCATAAAGTATACGAGTATACTGTATATTCAGGGTCAACAGCCGAATCGATAGAGGCATGTCCAACTATCTGTCTGTGTGTATGAACACGAAGATCTCAGAGACTATAGGAGCTAGAGACTTTAAATTTGGAATAGAGGTGCTCGTATATCCGGTGCAGTCCAAGTTTTCTTTATTTTATTGACAACTGCCTCCGTTTCTTGTAAATCGATACTTTTAAATTTCCGACAGCAATAAATGCCACAATTTCAGAATATTCTTATTAATACATAATATGCATATGCATATTATTGATCAACTGCCTAAATTGCATCTAGATCGGATAAGAAAGACCCAAGTTATATTCGAATATATATTATAAAAATGCGAGCGCATGTGCGAGAAGGAGATATCATGATAATTGACGCGAGCGAAAATATGTTTCTGTATGTATGCTGCAGAGCCCCGTTACATACGAGTCTGTGTATTTATGTACGTATATATCTATGTATATACACGTGCTTGTCGGCAGAAAGCACTTGCAGACCAGCTCACATTTTGGTGTAAAACTTTTTAAAAGGAAATTTGCCAATAAAACTAGAATATATTTAACGACTGGTTTCAGGGTATATCGTAGTCGAGCACACTCTTACTTGTTTAATATTAGTTTTAATTAAAATTTTGGTTGTTCCCATAACTCGAACACCAAATTCTCCAACATGCTCTTTTTCGTTTATTTCAAAAGTTGAGTTTTTGAAATTCAGTTTGGCCCAGATGTACAGTTTCGCTTTCGCTGCTCAGCCCGTCTGCAACAGTTTTGGCTACACTGTTAAGTCCATGCAAGCAGCGCACTGCTAATGGAGGGAAATTTGAATTTATACTTTAAGCAAAAAATAACTTTCTGTTGTGATTAGTTTAACCTATTCAAAATATTGTTAACATAAAGCGAGCATTTTATATTTATTATTATTAAAGTCCATACCTGAATTTATGTGGCTGTAAGTGTCCCGTATCATTACCTGAAACATTAAAATCATTTCACCGTTTCGCATGCACTGCTCTCGTCTATTCAGAAAGGCTTTGGCTGAACTGCCTGCTAAAACTAAATATATAACTGAATATACGTTTTATAAGTGAAATTTAGTAACTATATCATATTCATTGAACATTTAGCTTGATTTATATCCTTTGACAGTTTTGCAAGCACTGTTTTTGCTGAATTATTAGTTTAGGCAAGCAGTGCACTGCTTGCAAAAGCAATATTCGAAAGAAAAAAAACTAAATAAAAATCGAATTTTAAGTGCGAAAGTAGAGTTTACTTCTTAACCAAATGAAATATTTGTTCAGTTTTGATTGAAATTATATATCTACATATATATTAATACATACAATTAATATATAAATATATTAACACTATTAGTTAATTGCGGCAGCAATTTCATCTCTTCGCAAAGTAGCCGTTTCATCATCCTCGAATTCTGTGTCGCATTCTTCCCGTTTACTTGCTGCTTACTGCTTCTCTACCCCAACCAGCGCTGTGTTTCGCCTGCAGCAAATATTGTGCAGAGCACAACAAAAATTGACAATATTCATCACAAACTTAGGATCATAATTAAAGACGCGTTGCATACAATCAAAACGGCATGTTTCTGATTGAATTTTTGCTCCTTGGGTCCTTGCTCTGCTGATTTAACATAATACATAAGCCGAATCAGCCAAAATATAATGGCAATCAATGTGACGCATTAGATATTCCCTTGCCTCGCTATAGTGCCACACAAAGATATTGTTGAAGGAGCCAGGATGTGTGGCATCAATAGCCAGAATTTCCATTTTTTGATTCCACACCTGAAAATAAAAAGGGGGGAGTTTAATTTCAGTTATACAACTGGGAGGGGGGGATTTGGAAATTGAGATCGGGCAGAGAACCCAATTGTGATCGATAAACTCTCATTGAATGCCAATCATTATTCCCTCTGACTTCTCAAGCTTTCAAATTCCCCTTTTATTATTATTATGACGGTGCGGGGGGGATTACACCGCGACCTCTACAGTGTCCTGTCAATAGAGGTGAGGTTTTAGGGACCAACAAATTAGAGTGATGTCTAGCACCTCCTCCCTGATTCTAGTTACAAATGTCGGTGTTGATCCGACATTGCCTAATTCTAGATTATATTTAAATATAAAATCTGTTAGGCACTCACCCCTTAAATTGACGTCGATGTTGCCGCATATCGTGTGGTGCGCATTGGCATCGCATCCGATGAGTACTGAGATCCTCTCTCTCTCCTGCAGTAATCCACCGGTTTCTCTATAATTGGTGGTGGGCATGCTTCATCACCTGCGAAGTACGCAGACACAATAGCCGTAGAGACCGCGCTGCCTTTGCTCAGCACCACTATGGGTAAGGAATTTTGAAAGCATATTAAAGTTAATACTCTTCCTCACCATGATGCATGCTCTGGGTGCTGGATCTCTCCGATCCCATATTACCTTCGAGTCGGCCGTGCACAGGCCTTTAATGCCATTGTTGACCCATGGCTCCTGTACCAGGGCTAGCCCAAGGTGTTTGTTGGTAAACATCCTTGCTAAGACCGCCGAGGCTGCCTTAGCTCGGTGGATGTTTACCTGAGCTAGCCCTGTGTTGATGCCCTTTGACATCTACTTCTGGGGAGGCTCCAGCTGTCACGGTGACTGGGGCCTAGAGTTGCCCCCGTCACCGCTGCTCGTCATATCGACGTCAGTGACTGCTGCATCTTGCAGCTGCTCCGCCAGCTCCTGTGAGGACATAAAGTTGTCCACGTCCCCCAGTATCTCTTCTTGGCCGAGCGGCACTTCCGCCAACTCCTCGTCCTCTACGAGGCCGTCCGACAAGTCGGCGGGCTGCGCAGGGTGACTGCTCTGCTCTGTGACAAGAGTGTCTGATGTGGTGAGAATATCCACTTTGACGATCTCCTTGCCCATTGGAGCAGGCTGTGGCTTTGCTCCGACCCTCCTTATTAGTCTGCTTACGGGGATGGTCCCGTAGCGGAAGAAGATCTGGTGCCCCTTCTCTACAATTATATTCTTGGATAGCTCGTCTATCCCAATAACCAGGAGGGCTCCTCCACCTTCGTTCCTCCTGGATATTACCTTCCATGTGTCGGTCTTGATCCCGTTCTGGTTCTGCAGCAGAACCAACAGGGATTCGGTAGTCCGATCCACACTTCTTGGGCAGAATAGCGTGATACAGTGGGGCGACGGTATATCGTCTCCCACTTTGCATTCAAGGGGCACGCCCTTCCATGATTGTAGCCGCGACGCAACGGTTCTCAGCCAATCAGCTGAGGCTTCATCCGAGCATTCAATAACCAGGAAACCAACCCGGAAATGAATGCTCGCGAATGAGACCGCAATGTCCCCTCCAGACGCAATGACTTCGTCTATGATGGTCTCTTCCAACACAGACAAGTCTCCGTGGCTGAGCATGACATATGGGAATTCCACGGGCAACACGGCCACCTTTAACTTTTTTGCCATATCTGCATATGACAATCGAGGTTCGGTGGATGTTGGTGAGCTGGGCTTCATGGCAGCTGCACGCGATGTGCTCGGTCGGAGGTCCAAGCCTTCTGCCACCTTCATCGCCACTGAGCCGCGAGTAGCGCCTTTGACCACCGGACACACCCTCTTGGGGGTGGCCACCGATGGTGTGAGAGTGCTGCTGCGTCTCTTGGGAGCTGGCGCTGGTGCTGTAGATGCTTCCCTAGGCTCTGTGGCCTTTTTCAGAGCTACATCAGGAGTAAGTCCTTGCTGGAGGTACCGTAGGTACCATTTGACCCTCGAACCGCAGAGGTTCCGCCGGTTCGGATCATCCAGCCCACCGGGTTGACCCCTCGGTGGCAGGAACTCATCCTTCTTTTTTGGGCGCTGTGTGCCTTGTCTCGCAGCGTTCGGTGCTGGGCGTGGTGGTCGGGATGGTCCAACTACCACTCTCCCACGCGTCGAAGCCGGAGTTTGCTGTGCCTGCGGCATTCTCCTATTTAGTGCTGGGGCAGCACGGTGTGGAGGATGGTCTACCACACGAGAGGATATTTCCCCGTTTAGGGCTCGATCCTCTAGATGTCTTGCGACATTCTCCGCAAGGTGATCCTGCGGTACTTTTAGGTGTACTGAACGTTTCATAGTGTTCCCACGAGCTGCGGAGAAATATGTGTCCGCCCGGGCAGAGATCCGCGTTACCCGGGTAAGGCTAATTAGAACAGACGGTCGCCATTTGCCTGAGCCCACCGTTAGAGACTGGGCTAGTTTTTAGCCCGGGCCCCCAGCCAAGCTGACTCTCGGCACGGTACAGATAACGCCTTAGTCCGGCCCGGAGTGAGATGTGGGAATAGGATGGGGGTAGGTAGTAATGTGGGGAGATAGGGGGTTGTGTGATGCTATGCTTTAAAAGGCGGCAACACAAGCGCCTTGTCGGTACGATTGACAATATCGCACCCGCTGTTTGTCCGGGACTGCTTATTTACGAGGAATCTCGTATTATTCGCAGCTAACCTCCCCGGGGGGAGGCCGTTCGCTATCCGCAACCCGCGACCCGCCTGGTGGCCTCAGCTCAGCCCCATCCGAACCATCCCACAAGTTCTTTAGACCAGGAAATTCCCCTTTTAAATACTGCAATTTAATTATATTCAGGAGTAAATAATCTCTGATTGTTCAGTTTATGGTTCTACTTTAAATATAACAAAATAATGTCAGGGAGTTCATATTTAACTTTCTCGATATTCTTAGCAGAACTGTTTTCTGTTGGAGCCGACAGTTAAAATAAATCGCCCTAAACTCGAAACCAACCTAAAAATAGATTTTGTAGTTTTTAAATTTTAAAATTCTAAATCAAAATTTTAGAAATTTTCTTGCTGAATAAATAAGCGACAAAAATGAAGGGCGATATTTTTCTGAGTGTACTCACCAGCATCGCATTGAGGCTAAAGTAATTCTTTGTGTTGAGGTAGACAAATTCCTCCTGCGCTGGTTTCACAATCCTCACTTGCGGTCCATCCAAACAGGCAACAATTTGGGACAGCTGATGTTACCACATGAAATAATCGCGGGATTGTTTCAACTGCTCTTTGCTTATCTCCAGGCTGATTGAATCCGTGCACAGTTTGTCCTGCATTATGGGAATCACATCGCGGAGCACTTTGCCAAAGGTGCTACTTCCGATATTGACATATTTATCCCTGGCCACGTTTGACTGATGTGCTCCCGTGGCCAAAAAGCGCAAAACTGGCGCTAATTGCACATCGGGCGATAAATGGGAAAGGTCGCCTTTGATAATCAAAGATAACAATTTTTGAGCGTACATTTTTGCCACTCACTCTGCTTTTTCTATGTTGAGCACACAATTTTAGCTCTCAAATACTTTCTTTTTCTAAGTTCGCATTTTTGATGCCTTCTTTGCGCTTCTAAGATGGCAATTGCAAAAATTAATGGCATTTTTATATACTTTTATTCTCAGCTTATTTTGCTTGCACATGTCTTAGAGATGTGAGTTCAATGCGTCTCTTCCTAGAGTTAGCAAATCGATAGTTTAAAATAAAGCACGCACAATCAGCTGTGTTTGGGATGTGACTTGAATGCTTGCGTTGCCACATCGATAAATTAAAGACGCTGAGCTGCATTAAAGAGAAAACTGTTCTCACTACATAAAAGCTTAACATATATTAAGGGTGTTCCCATAAAAGTTTTATGTTTATGCTTAAATATATAAATTTATATGTATAAGAGAAGTTTGTTTAAATTAAAGCAGCTGGCATTTTGTAATTAGATATAACTTTTGCTATCAAAATTAGTTTTTTGTTGGTTTTCAGGCCTTCCCCTCTCGTAAAATGCTCAAGAGTAATGACTGGCAAAAAATGTGTATTTGATGCTTCCACAAAAAAGCTTGAATTCAGTTGCATTTCTGCTGTTGCTTGCAACGGTTTGCTATACGATAAATTGAGGCGCATGAATATATGTAAATTTAATAGTTGCAACAGACATATATATTGTATATACAGAGTATATTGTGTGTAAAAGCGATCAATAATTCTACGCGTTCTATCTCCCTCTCACTAAGTGTGTGTGTGTAAAAGTGTTGCCAATAAAAAATATTAAAATTGACAGCAAGTAAGCAAGAAAGAAGAAGACGATCAGCTACAACAACAACAACAACAATGCTGCTGCAGAGAAACAAGTAAAAATATAATAAAGCGGCTTTGTTAAATTTTGTGTTTGTTTGCAATAATTTAATTAGTATCTATTCCATTTTCTGTTCTGCTCACTCCCACTCCATTTTACTACCGTCTCGACTCGATTTTTATTTGCGTGTCAATTTTATCTGTTGACATATGTTCTGTGTATGTGTTTGTATGTATGTGCTGCTTGTATTACTTCATCTGCTTTATCTGAATTTTGTTTTGTTCATCACATTCGTACCGGCGTTGCCAATGCTATATGAAAACACATCAGCTGCTTTCATGGCCACCATGGCAACAATACAATTACAACAAACAGTTATGTATTTATTTAAAAATCATTGTGCTGGCGTATTTATAATTAATTATATAGATATATATTTTGTATTTGTTTGGCTGCTCGTCTGCCTCATTATTGCTGATGACAATCTGGCAACGCTGCTCGCTCTCAAAGTTCGGCTTTTTTTGCTCTTGCGCTCCATTAAATTATGCGACTCGCTTTTATTTATACAAGACGACAAAAGTGTTTTCTTTTTTTTTTTTTATTGATTTCGAGCTCGCGAACGGGTAAACAACGTGCAACGATTTTACTTAATTGCTAGCGTTAATCAATCAACGTTAGTCTTGTTGTTTTTTGTTTTCTCTCCGTTTTGCCCTTTCGTTCGTTATCACAAATTTCGCGCGTGTTGCGAGCACATTTTTTTTTGGTAACAGTTACTTTTTTGTTTATAAATATATCTACTTGGAGGAATATTTTAGTAAGTACATGCCAAGTGCCTGACGAATGCACTGCGTGATAAGATAAGGGTGACCCATTGGGAATTAAGACTAATTAGCCCAAATTACCTGGCAACGCACTTACATTCACACACACTCACGTGCGTTCCTTTTTGAGTCGAATAAAAAGTCTGCCCATGTTTGTTGTTCTTGTGCATGTGTGTGTGTGTGTGTATGTGTTAGTTAATTGCACTTTGTACATATTTGAGGTGGTTAACTGTTTATTCTTACAATTAGAGATGCGGAGATATCTGTTGTTGTTTATGAACAGTAGGCTGTCAGTGTGTCGCCGCCAGTGTTGCCTACAAATTCGAAGACAACAAATCAAAATGGCTAGAAAAAGCTAGAACTGATAAACGTGGAAATTAATAATTCATTATAAATTACTTTTTTAAGTACTAGAAAATAGCTAGCAAAATCTAAAAATTTTAAATTAATTTTTGAATAACTGCATTCAAATTTCCAGCTGCCAGCACTTCAACAAGTATTAGCTATTAAATTGCCAAAATGGCAACATTGGCCTGGCAGCTGGCCAACAAAGCGATGCGCAACAATAGACCGCAATTGCTACACATACATACAAACACACTTATATGCATATGCGGGGATTATGGGGTGTATGCATGTGTGTGTGTATGCATATGCGGGCATTTGGATGTATGTGTGTTGTGTGCATGCATATATGTATGTTTATTTTGACTGCGATAAGCTTGTGAATTCACTCAATGTGTGAAAGCCAACTTGTTGCCTCAGTGAGTGAATCCAACTGTAAATATGTATATATATATATATGTAATTGTTTATTTAAGAAAGAAAGAAGCAAACGAACATACAGGCCATAAGCAATATGTACACTCAGGACAAAAATTACCCTACATTTTATTAAATCGCCTTGAAATAAAAATCACTTTGGAAAATAGAAAATAGAAAATTGGCATTGAAATAATTTCTAACTATTAGCAAAAACGTTTCTAAACATTAGAAAGGCTTGTCCAAAATCGATAATTCCAAAAATATGACAATTTTTTCTATTAGAAATGTTTTCTATTATTGAGATAATATGATTATTAAGACATGTATTTCTAAAAAGTAGGTTTGGCTTTTAAATTACAGTTTAAGTTATTTCCGAATTAATTTATATTGAATTAACAAATTAGCTAATATAACAATTCTTCTAAGCATAAGCACATGGAAAACATCACCCTGGAAATTTAACATATATATTTCTAATTTTTAGAAAAATCTAAACTGAAATTTTCTTGCTGAATAATATGGCGATGTACTAAATTTTAGGTTGATTATTTAGCTGAGTGTATAAATTCAATTAGAGCTGAAGCTAACTGTCGAAGCTGCTCGATTTGAGTTTTAAGCTGCCCCGCGTCAGCTGATTCAGATCGATGATGGACAGGTACGGCTTGGGCGGCACACAGACGCCCATCGACTCAATTGTGTGCTCTCTCTCTCTCTCTCGCTCTCTCTCCCTCTCGCGTGCTCGCGTCACTCTCTTGTGTCGGCTGCTTAGCTCGGAATACTGATCGTGGCCACAGCTGGCGGCGGTTGCCGCTCGTCGATAATTGCGACAGCCACTAAATGTGCTGCTCCCCGGCGCAATTGTTAAAGGACGCGTCGGTGAGAAACCGCCCTCATCCGAGGAGACTCCTCCGCCACCGACGCCTCCCGTTGAGTCATAGCAAATGCTCAGATTGGTATACGAAATGGGCGCATGACAACGCGTCGTCTTCGCTCTGGGTTTCACTTCGTAGCGTGTCCGCGAACGGGAGCGGGAGTGATGTGTGCGGGGACGTCCACGCCCACGCTTGCCGCCGCCCTGCAACCGCATCTCGGACACCAGCGGCACTGGCAGCACATTGATGAAGCGATAGTATTGCAGCAGAGTACGTGCCACATTGCGTCCAACGCGATGATCTGCAAGAGTCCAAGGGGTAGTGATTAAACTACAGTTAGTCACTCAAAAAAAATGTTGATAACCCCGTGAAATTTAGAAAGTATTTATTGATTTTTGAAATAAATTCAAAAACAATTTCTACAAATTTTAATTCGACAGTCCCAAAAATAAGGCAAATTTTTCTATTTCTTAGCAATATTTTCTTTTATTGAAAAAATGCATTTCTAGAAATGTGGAAATGCAAACCCTGATACTAGAAACTGTTCTTTCTAAAATTAGAGATTATATACTATCTATTTCGTCCGCATAGCTCAGTGAGAAATGAATCTAATAGAATCCTTTTAAAATCGTGCATTTTTTTCCATTTAATTTGAATGAATTTATAAACTATCTAAAATTCTGTTCTGTGAAATTAACAAAAATAATAATAAAATAAGTAACGATTTGACATAGTTTTCCAAATTAAAATTTTTGAAGTTTACTAAATGGCACGAAATGTGTGACAAATTTATAAAATCTAATTCAATTTTTTTTGCTTAGTGTATTTGTCATTCATCATTATAATCATATGCGATTGGAGTCCGCATAAAAGGCATTATAATAAAAACTCAATGCCATATAAAATAAGAATAATTAAGTTTAATGAATAACGCGGGAACTTCTTGCATATCTTTAAGTTTGTGTTTGCCAAGAAGAGGAGGTATTTTGGAAATGAATCAGAATTGAGCTTTAAGTTGTAGATAACTATATTCTTGACATGCCAAGATGAGAAAGGATCTGGGACAAACTGACCTGATCTGGAAGTTAATCGGCAGCCATCCTCCAAAACACAACAACTGAATTAAAACCGAACTAATCACGTAGATTTTTGTATATATAGATAAATGGTAAATACTATTTGGAACTCGGTATCGCCTCGGGAGGTTACTCGACATATTTCCAGCCATCCTTGCCTGGATCTGAATGAACTCCATGGATTAAAACTAAACTGGTCATACAGTCCTTACAGTCTTGCCATGCCAAGAAAAGAAAGAATCTTCGAAATGAATCTGAATTGAGCTCCAAACAGTATTACAACGGATCAGAACTGATCTAGTCATGTAAAAAAGAATGTGAATAGACCCCAAGGACCAAATCTAATCTACACGTATACATTTTGATATATCCAACTTGAATGCTAATTGGAATCCGCCAATAGTCCTGGAAACTACTCGACTTATTTACAGTCGTTGTAGAGCGGTACAGAAGAGTCTGAATAGATCCCAAGGATCCATACTAGCCAAGTCATATCTGTTCCCCTGGAATTTACTCATCATACTCACAGCCATCCTCGTTGTAGAGCGCCACCGTTTTGCCATCGCGCAGATAGTGCCCCGCCATGGACACCTCCAATGTGTAAGCATTCACTGTGTCGCTGAGACGTTCGCAGCAATAGCGTCGCAGGCTGCCCGCCTTGCGCTCATCCGCATTGAACATGGTGTGCTCGGCAACATAATCCTTGGCATTGCTGGCAAAGAGACGCGGGAAGACCAAGTGTCGCTCATAGCGATAGACATCCTCGTAGGTGTTGCCATAGATGAAGCAGCCGTGCATGCTGCTATTCGCATGCAGATCGATCACAAAATCAATCTGATATGTCTGCAGCAAGTAAACGATAAAAAATCAAATATATATATATGTATATATATATATAGTTAACGTTAAACTGATACTCACATCTGAATTATCCAATTCTTTTAGAACATTGCGTATTGCATGCAACTCGGGCTGTGTAAACTCAGACGCCACATGCCAATTGCGGTTCATGTCCTGCCCCATCAGATTGCAGCGATTGTTACCGAGGAACACACCATCCGGATTGACCATTGGCACTATTTTAAAGACGAAATTCTCGCGCAGCACATGCGCTATCGGATGATTGCCCACCAGGAACTCAATCAGGCCCTGGCACACATGCGAAGCGGGCGCCTCGCTCGAATGCGACCGACACAGGATGACAATGACCCGAATAAAACTGCGCTCCAAGCGATTTGTCGTACGTTGACTGTGCGTCACCTGATCAATCGTCAGCAGATCCACATTGCGATTTTGCTGGCAATTTTAGCAAAAGAGAAGGAAAATGAAGAATGATTTGTTAAGTTTTAAGTCAATCGAATCATCTTTGGATGAAATTGATCCTGTGTCTAAAGACAGACAGTTTGACAAGGCTCAACACGCCGCTGCCTGAACTTGTCAGCAAGAGGAGATTAAGCATGATGAGAAGCCCCTTTTTAATCAATCTACCTCTGTTAGCAGAAGTTGGACCAAGAAGACGCATCTCTGATTCAATCCATCAAGCCAATATACTCAAAACTTTCACTAATGATTGCTGCAGAGGCCGTAAAAAAGGGAGAAGAAATGGAATAATCTGCTGAACACTTCTTTTGTGCCTGCCCAGGAAGTGATGAAGTATCCTTGTCACCCATCTTTCTAACCGATCTATCACAGTTAGCAGAAACCCAACTGGAGATGTGGTTAAATTTGCCAATGAGAAAAAAAGGAACTGTTTTCTTCCGGGCTGACAAAGATGATTGCTTGATCAACAGACAAACAAATTGACAAGGCTCAACTAGTCTTGTGTAGTGAATGGAACTAAGCCTGACCCTTAACTTGCTAGGAAGTGGAGAAAAAGTACTTTGGAAAGCTCCTCTCTAACTGATCTGTCACAATAACCAACTAGAATTGCAACTGATTGGACTAATTTTTGATTCAATCTCTTCCAACTAGTGTCAAGCTATTGAGACGAAATCTGCCCTATGTGTATTAATCCTAACCCAATCCTCAGCATACTCACCAATGATTTAATTAGCACGCATCGCGTGAAACGCTTCTCGTTGCCCTGCCGCGCATCGATCACATTTAAATAGGACTGCAAACGAGAATAGCTGTAAGGCGATGCGAGAGCGAACATATAAACATCCTCCTCCTTGTCAAAGTTGAAGCCAAAGCTGAGCACATAGTGGCCCTGATGCATTGCGGAGCGATAGAAGAACACTTGCCGCTTGGAGAGACGCTGCCACTTGGGTCGACTCGAGGATTTGACGAGGGGCGTCAGTCCCGAGTTGAAGAGATTGCGACTCTTGCTGATGTTGACAATGTTGAAGAGCACCCGCTGGTCCTGTTTCACATTGTCCACGGTGAAGTTGAACCAGAAGCGAAAGCGTGGATTGCATGTGTCCGGCCGTAAAAATAAATCGTATTCGAATTCACCCACCAGCTCCGCCTTGCCCAGATTGCCCGTCTCGAAAGCCGCATCGAAGCACAAATGTCCTCGCTTCGCCTTGCCACTTTGGCCGGGCGGTCGTATTATCACCCGGGACACATTGCCCAATCCGCCCTCGCCATCGCTGTCCTCGCTATCTGTAATTAAGTTGTTCGACTAAATTAGTATTGAGATTTTCGTGATTGGAATTCAGTTAAAAAGGAATTCCAATTGTCACTGAATATTTAAAGTTGCTTAAACAATTGGCATCCTTGTTGAATTATTATGATAAATCCGCCATTTATTCTGTTTAAAAATGACTTTGAGTAGTTTAAATCTCATTACTTCTTTCAAGTTCTAAATCATATTTTAGAGAAGCGGCTTTCAAACACATTTTGAATAGTAATCACAATTTAATATAGCTTGAGGAAAGTATGATATCTGGCATTTTGTTGTATTCTGTTTTAAAAACAATTTTGTGTATACTCAAAATGGAATTTAGGAATTGTGAGAGCAATTATAATCATCATTGAATCTTTACGGTTTTAAATCATATTTTAGAGAAACTAATTTTTGTGTTAAAATCCATTTGAAATCAAATTTGCACAAAGTTTGAAATCTGTTTCCACATGGCAAAACCATTGGATTGAAACTTCAGAAATACTGAATCGTATAACAATTGATTTGTTGTATTGAATAATGTAGTTAAGTAGTTAAAAATTCACATTTAGTTATTTTCGTGCTCCAAGAATTGGGAATTGGAATTGTCACTAAATATTTGTAGCAATAATTGTTTATTAAGAGTAACTCCCGTTTGTGTTGGATTCTATTCAGATATTCACGGCAAGTTAGAAATTGGTTTTTCTCATTTTAGCAAAATTTTATCACTTTCAAAATTGAAAACATTTTGAAATGGATTTATAGAAATTATCAAACGATCAACTATAAATTTATGAAATATTATAGCTAGACAAATTTAAAGTATTGAAGAATGGTATTCCGAACTCCATATCTTAAAAACTCGCGAAATTTAACCACACAGTTGTAAAAATAAGTTCAACGATTTTTGAGCAATACATATTTTGATTTAAGTTCGAGTCGACTTAGAATTGTATTTTGAGCTTGTTAATACTTTATAAATATTTCCCCTATTGCACTTTTCTAGATTAGTTCGATTGAAAATTATTCTTAATTCTCCTACCATCTGAGCCTCGCTCATACATGCTCGTATGCTCCAACGGATCACGGGCGATGCCCAGCATTTTGCCTACTTTCCGCTCGATACGCAAGTGGCAAGTGCAACGTGCAAAACTCTTCTAACTCTGCCAAACTGGCTAACAACTAATCCGCCAGCAGGCATAAAAACTTAATCCTACCTTGGGCTTGTGCTATCTTTAAAACTCCGACACATATGCGTGTCTCGGTTATCGCAACTTTCTTTGCTTCGAGCTGCAGTTTGCCGCTTCAAACGTCAACATTTGAAATTGAATAGTCGCGGTTGCGTTTGCCCCACCCGGATTTGCCGTGTCGTGATTTATGAATGGAAGCCAACAGCAGCCAGCTACACTCAGAAAAATAAATCGGCCCGAATTTAAGCAATTCGCCAAGGGTAATTCACCTTACGAATATAAAATACCCTGTAGGGTTTTAGTTTGAGTTTGTACTTCTATCAGCTTTTCAAGTATTCATAAATGTACTTCTTTTTACACTTAGAAAAAAAAGAGTTTTAGATATTCTTTTCTTTTCTTAACATTGAAAGAAATGTATAATTTTCGGGATATTTGTTCTTAGTTAAGATTTCACATATGCCAAACATTTTAAATAGTCTATGAATTCAAATATTCATATTACTCCGCTTTTAAGTCAGACTACAGCTAAACTCAAATATAAAAGCCGAGCCAATAAATTTCTTTACACCCTGCTAAATTTAAGAAAGTATTTTGTTTTTAAATTTGAATTAGAAATAAATTTCTTAATAGAAAATATTTTCATACTTTTGGGAATGTCGATATTCGGCAAGCCATTCTATTTTTTAGAAAATTATTTTGATATATTCAGAAACTATTTCTAAACAAAAAAACTATCTAGCTTTGAGGTCAATGAATTTCCAATTAATAGAAAATATTTCTAAAGAACAAAAAAGACGCTATATATTTGGAATTGAATCGATTTAGAGTAATCCTTTCTAATTTTTCGAAATATTTTTTCTAATATTTAGTAATTATTTCTAACAAAAAAACTTTCTAGTTTTCCGGGAAATTTTATTTTTCTGAGTGTTGGAATCTTGCTGCTGCTGCTGCACTCACCTGAGTCGCCCATTGCTCTTGTGGATTGCTCAGGACATGCACTTCAGTTGCAATCAACGCTGACAAGGCGTATCCTTTGAAGGCAGCTCCAGCTCCAGCTGCCAGCGCATTGACCTGCTTCTCCTGCTTCTTGCTGCTTACTTTCCGCTGCAAATTAAAAATAGAAATTCAATTAAGACACCCATTGCTATTTTAGAGCCACGCCCACTTTTAGATTTATGTCTTGGCTTTCACTTTCTTCGTTGACGGCACTCGATTCGCGTGCGAAACCCTTGAGGCAAAGAAATCCTTTTTTCCGTTTTTCCTTTTTTTTTTTTGGTTTTGGTTTTCTTTTTTTTATAGATTGGAATCAGCGTAGACTATGCGTTTTGGTGCCTAAACTGGCCCTTTGGGCTGAGTTGGGCTGAATGACGACTGTTGGCCTGTCTAATGTTTTGCTTGCCACTTTTGAAACGTTGCCAACCACACACACACACACACATCAACCAAAGCACACACACACAGCTTGGCTGACATGTGCCCACAGTGTGTTTGGTCGATAAAAACGCGCACAAGTTTTGTCAGTTGCGGTTTTGGCCAGGTTCTTTTCACACACGACTGTCTTTAAGTCAACTTTCAACGTAACTCGCATTAAAAAAAAATAAAGAAAAACGATAAACTGCTCAACGGTGTCGTCAAAGTTGCAATACTTAATTGCCTGTGTGGCAGGAGGCACATAAACAACACCACCCAATTGCTGGCATTCTCTATTGAAACTAGTTCACGGGGCTAATCAATATTTTGCGTCTGCATACGCGTCACATTTGTTGCACAGTACACTCGGAATTTGTAGAAATTCGCCTTAAACCTTAAAGCCATTTTATTATTTAGAAATATTACATTTTCTAAAGATCAATGTTTTTCTTTCCTTGATTTCTGGCTGAAATTAGAAAAGAAATAATTCTAATTTGCCGGTTGTTTTTTCATATGTAAATTTCGTTACTTGTTGCTGAAGCATTTTTTCTAATTTTTAGAAATGTATTAATTAAAAACACGAAAAACTTTATATATTTTTTTTATGATTCAGTGCGTTTTTTTCCGAGTGTAGCAACTGCATATCGTCTACTTTTATAACATGTCCAAACGCAGGTAGCTTTTAATACACTTTTCCCAATCTAACCAATTGTTTCTTTTATTTTTTTTTTGCCAACTGTGTTGATTTTTCTTTTTCGTTTAACTATTCTTTGATTCGTTTTGCAGATTAGGCAGCGTGCGTCCACCGAAACGTTGCAGAAGCGACATGGACAATATATCCACCTCGGACATTGTCATTATCAATGGCAACTCGCATCCGGATCTGGCCAACAGTGTCGCCGAGAGGATGGGCATCAAGAATGGCGGCTGTTCCGTCTTTCACAAATCGAATCGCGAGACTATCGTCGAGATCAGCGACTCGGTGCGCGGCAAGGATATCTACATCATACAAACGGGCACTAAGTGAGTACCTCAAAAAAAAACTGTAAATATTTTATATTAAACATTAATAAAAAATTCAATAAGTAAACATTGAAAGTTGGGATAGCTACAAAATTAAAGTCTTTAAATTTCTTACAAATGAGCCAATCAAAATAAGTAGTAGAATAGTAGTTAAGCTTTCTTATGTCCATAATATTATTAAATTATTAAGAGCACAAATGAACATCTTAAAATTTAGTATAAATGAGCCTGTCAAAATCATAGTACACAATATTTCATAGTTGCACCTGGCGTTAAGTAATATTTCGAAAATCTAGATATGATGTGAGGAAGTATATATGAAAATAGTACAAGCTACCAAAAGCTGAACATTTTACGTTGGATCAATGTTAGAAATGATTTTTTTAATTTCGCAATTATTATTCGGGTTGAGATATGTAGAAACTGCTGTACTTGTCTTTTTGGAATGTTTGCCACGATCAATTTTATCAGCATAAAACGGGCCATATATTTATGGAATGCTTTTTAAATAAGCAAATAAGTTACAATTGTATTATTTCACAAAATAAACTCTTCATAAACTCGTTCAGTTTTAAATAATTCAACACTTGACTAAAACAGCCCAAAATAGAAGACGAACAAAAGGAATAGGTAGAATTCATAAAAAGGAATGTGAGAAGAGTAAAATGGAATCAAGGAATCGAAAGGATTATGAAAGTAGCTATGAAAATATTGATAAAGGACAGTTGATGAACCACCACTACTATTATTATTTTTATTTGCTAAACATGTTCAACTCTCTCTTTATGCTTTGCTCTGTTATAGGGATGCCAATAATAATATAATGGAACTCCTAATTATGGCCTATGCCTGCAAGACATCTTCGGCCCGTTCGATTGTGGGTGTCATACCCTATTTGCCGTACTCGAAACAGTGCAAGATGCGCAAACGTGGCTGCATTGTGTCCAAGTTACTGGCGAAGATGATGTGCACATCGGGATTGACGCACATCATAACGATGGATCTGCATCAGAAGGAGATACAGGGCTTCTTCGATATACCCGTTGATAATTTACGCGCCTCACCCTTTCTGCTGCAGTACATCCAGGAGAGCGTGAGTCGAAGTTGGATTTAATTTGTATAGTGCTCAACTAACGTTTTGTATGTGTTGTATCTTTTAGATACCCGACTATCGTAATTCGGTGATTGTGGCTCGCAATCCGGGAGTTGCCAAGAAGGCCAATTCGTATGCGGAACGTTTGCGTTTAGGCCTCGCTGTCATCCACGGCGAGCAGAAGGAGGCCGAGAGCGATGAGGTTGATGGCAGATACTCACCACCACCAACCAGGTGAGTCTCCAAGATATCAGTCTTATATATACATATATGTGTGTTTTTGTTTAGCTGTTGTACTTCTTATTATGACTGAAGTTGAAGCGCCAAAACAGTTTCAAGTCGTGTTTTTTGTTTCTGTTAAATTAGATTCGTTTCATAATTTCCTTAGATTTGTTTAGCTTTGTTTTTTTTTTCTAAAAAAAAAAAAATATTTACTGTCGTCGTTAAAAACTTTTTAGTTGAAAGTGATTTATATATTTTATGTTTATTTTCAATGTGAAATTTGCAAAACAAAATCACATCATCAATCAATCAAAAGTTATTTTAATTTAAAATGAGGAACCGACTATTTATAAAATTTACCAAATCAGCGGTTTTTGAATGTATAATTCAGTGGAATATCTGGAGGAAGCAGGAGAAGCCGTTAGCAACTGGGGGACGGCGATAAACCAAAGTTTTAAAATATCTTCAAGGGAGCTTGTCCAAAAAACGTAGTTTTATCATCATAGCTAAAAAGTTTTGCGTGTCTGCAGCAATGCAGGAAAACAGTCAGCCCATAGCTCTAAATATACATTTATTAAAATGAATATTCTTATTTTATTTATTTAAAAAAATATATGAAAAGTATCCGATTAAGAAATTTAGTTATTTGCTATTTAGAATAAGCTTTGGGAACGTAAAATTTATATTTTGGAAGCGTGCAGTTAAGATTGATACGCGTTGGTAAATATATTTATCGAAATCTGTGGTATTCCATCTTCTATATATATATATATATAGATCGTAGGCATACGGTGTGATGTTCCAACTTATTTATAAAGAGATCTGAAGCATAAGCTGTGATGCTCCCCTTATATGTACATTTATATATACAAATACAAATCTTACGCATAAGCTTTAATGTTGCATCTTAAATACGACCCTTAAAACACCACCTGTTATCTCCACATTCAGTAAAATATTTGATTCACATGCGTATATGTAAAGTACCTCATTGCATTGACTATTGAAATCACATGTGTGTGTGTGTGTAATATATGCCAATATTAAACTAAGTGACATTGACATTGAATTAAGCACGTAGAATAGAGTTTATATGCAATATGCTGCATACCACGCATACCTCGAACTCTGAGCATTTGTTGTTAACTTATACTTCAAGTCAACGAAAGTACATTGAGTAACTTATTACCTTCAAGCGGTGATCATTTTTATTGTTTTCTTTATTAACACAATTTGCTGTAATTGCTTATTCCACGAATTGCAAATTGACTGCGTTCGGCATTGAAGAAAAAACAAAAATAAATGAAAACAATAAACAATTGGAATTCTTAATCTTTATTTACGTTTATTGTGTTATTATGTCATTATACATATGCAGGGCGTATTGCAATATATTAGGAAATTCTTCTGTTGAAATGTGCATACCGACGGCGTCTAGGTTTGTATCTACCTAAACATAAATACATATACTATATATATATATATAATTTGACATTATTTTGTGTGTTTTATTTTCGAATATAATTGCGAACTGTATATGTGCTATCATTTTCTTTATTTTTTGGTTACGATTTGAACAACTCTGCAACTGCACCACACACATCAATATGCACCACATCAAATGCCAATTGCAAACGCTTACACACTAATCACAATAGAAACTCTACTCCACAACATGCACCCATTAGCAGTCGGCAGCGCACTACATCGGTGTCGGTGGGTGTGCCGGAGCATCCATCGAAAGTGAAACCACCGCTGACCATTGTGGGTGATGTAAATGGTCGCATTGCCATCATGGTCGTAAGTATTACTGAAACTATATATGATCTGTCTATAAGTAGTGTATATTGCCGCTCTCCACACAGGATGATCTGATTGATGATGTGCAGGCGTTTGTTGCCGCCGCCGAGATGCTGAAGGACAATGGTGCCTGCAAAATTTATGTGCTGGCCACACATGGTTTGCTCAGCTCGGATGCGCCGCGCTTGCTCGAGGAGTCCGTCATTGATGAGGTGCATAAGACTCCTTCTATATTATCTATAGTTTAACGATCCTTTTATTTAATCAATAGTTGATTTATATATTAACTTTTTACTATCCTTTTATATTATCTATAGTGGATTTATATAATCATAATTTACTATCCTTCTATATTAATTATATATTAATTTTTCACTATTTTGCCTTTCTAGATTGTTGTCACCAATACCATTCCACATGAGGTGCAGAAATTGCAATGCAACAAGATTAAAACAATTGATATTTCCATACTCATCGCTGAGGCCATACGACGCATACACAACAAGGAGTCCATGTCCTATTTGTTTCGCAATGTCACGCTGGAAGACTAAAGATGGACAAAGGAGCACACACACATACTACACACACAACACACATGTCAAAATTTGTCACTAACCAGTGAAGTGTCTTCTTCATGGAAGTTGCGCCTTTATATTGTTTGTTTGCCATCTTCCCCACACACAAATCCGCTCTTTAATTTTACTTTGAATAAAACTAAAAAAAACTGCTCAACAAAAATAAATTGCAGATTGTTAAAATTGTTTATTAAACTTTGCATAACTTTAGGCTGAGTTGAACATGAATGCATATTAAAAATGTGTAAAATAACAAATCCCACAATACAAACCAAACAGTAGCAATTTGAAAGCTGTGCTAACTTTTAAAGTAAACCCATTCAATGTTTTCCGTAACCAAATGCGTCACTTATTAAATGCAAATAGGAACACAAAATACAAATACAAATATTGCAAATCGAGCTAATCAGCAATATTTTCACACTTTACGATTAACAAGTGGCAATTGCTAATTTGTAATCGTAAAGCACTTACGGCCATTTAACAGACGGAAATGGTACACTTATTGCCCATTAATTGATAACAATCTCTCTTTTTTTATTTAAATTTATAATTACAATAAATATAGTACCCATAGGTACTTCATGTAATGTGCTAGTAATAAATTATTAAGTCACATCATTTCTGAATTCATTACGACCAATTTGATTTGCTTTGTTATTTGGCGAAAACAAACTCAATAAAAAATAAAACAATTTCATAGACTGGGCACATGCCACATAAAAAACGTCTCAAATTATTAAAAAAAAAAAAACCCAAATAATTGGTTATTTTTTTATGTGTACTGCTGCATGAGCAGCAATAAATGAATTGCGTTAGTCTCTATTATCTATTGTATAAGCAAATACAAAGTGCTGTTCTACAGACTCTGACAGATGTGCTTCACAAAAGATATTTGTGCAAATATCTAAGCAATTGTTGTTGCTAAAAAATCGTCGTTTTTTTTTTGTTGTTAAATGCGTTGCGGAAATGGGCACATAACGATAAGATTACAGAAATTTTACTTCACATATGCCAAATGAGGGGGAATCGCAATTGCGGTTATAATTAAAATGAAGTGATGGCTTCAACGATCCCCGTGTGTGTATGTGTTAATTAAAACAACAAACATTGTGCATTGGGTACGCCTCATCAATTAAACATGAGTGCAAACTAAGAGCAGTGATTCTTTGTTAACTACTACGTACTTAACTAGTAGCAATTACATTCTAAAAAAAATCGATCTGAAATTAAGAAATTCACCCTGAAAGTTTTTCATTTTATAACTAAAATCTGAATTTCAAAACCGTTTTTTTTTTAGTGAAGTTTTATGAATTTTATCAACTATGTGAAATCTTAAAATACCATTATTAAAAATTAATATTTTAAGATTTCACATAAACAATAATTTTAATATAAGTGACAAAAAAAAGGCTAAAATTACAATTCTTCTATGTACACTTAGAAAATAACATCCTGGAAATTGGAAATTTTTTTTTTAAGTTCTATAAAAATTCATATCGAAATTATGATATGCAAACCAACTTTACGTTTAGAAATTCACAAACTTTAATTTTAGAATAATAAGGTAAGGAACCCCTGGCGAATATCTAAACTTCTAGGCGACTTTTTTTTTTGTGAGTGTAGTCGACGCTTATAAATATTTGCAGCAAACAGAACGTACAGTTAAATATGCCAAGAAAAAGAATATGTACATATATAATATATTTATAGGTATTTGCATTACGCCTTGAGTTGCAATAAAACATGCAGCAAACAGTTTTAACTGCTTACGTCGCTGAACAATGTGTGGGTAATATGCAAATTATAAAAGTCAGCCATTTGAGCCGAGAGTCAGACAGGTATAACTGCGCAAACCATTAAATAGTAATCTGTAAATACATTTGCGAAATTTTGATTAAACAAGTTTTGTGTGTGTGTTTTTTTTTTATCTAAATTGAAATATCTGAAATTTATTGCTTTAACCTAGAGCAGAGGTCTTTAAACTCAAAATAAATGTGTGTTCTATTATTTGCGAAGCAGGAAGACAGCAAATTTGATTCTAGGCGACTGATTCCTGAATCAGACTTCATCTAGAATTCTTGATTTAAGATGTTGTGTATCAAATATTCTTGTTTTCCAATTTGTATTCTTCAATTTTGAATAATTTGTTTTGATCAAAATAAAAATATCTTTAATTTATAGTTTCAACCTAGAGCTGAGGTCTTTAAACTCAATACAAGAGTGTTTTCTAAAAAATGGGAAGTAGGAAGACAGCAAACTTGATACTAGATGCAGACTTCATTCAAAGATACTTGTTTAAAAATTTATATATATTCTTATTTATTCTTGCTAACTCATTTGGGGATTTATTTATAGTTTAAGATTTTTGCATTTGTACTTTTTTATTATTGATATTGATTTTAATTTTCGATTTGATTGAAATATCTTGAATTTATTGCAATAAGCACGAATAGGTTAAAATGCGAAGTTCGAGGACAAAAAACTCAATTCAAGATTGTCAAGTAAAGAATAAACAGACTTCAGCTATGAATACTTAATTTAAGATATTTTTGCTAGTAATTAATATATTCTTGATCAGAGATTTTTTTACTTTAGATATTCTTGTTTTCTGATTGTTGTACTTCAATTCTGATTCTAATTCTTTCTTTTTTATTCCAGAATAAAGAAACTTCATCTAAGCATTCTTGATTTGAGATTCCGAATATTTTCCTTGATATATGATCTTCTTATGCTTTGTGTATATATGGATTGTGAGTTGAATTAATTTTATTTGCGAGTTTTTTATTAGAGATTATTTTAATTGTACAGTTGCAACTAACTATTACATATGTAAACAATTCAAAGTCGAGTAATCTTTTATTAAAAGAAAATATGCCTTTGCGCATATTTGTCAAGACAGGAGGTCAGGCGATAAATTTCCGCTGTTTGCCAAACAAACTTACTAAAAAAAAAGAATGAACAAAACTGAGACAGAACCTTCAACAATGCGTCAGTCAGTGCCACAAATAATCTGGTTGGTTTTTCTGGTGCGTTATCAGCGGACTGTGATTGTTGAGTTTATCTGCTCAAGTGCAAAATATTTGCTTAGCAGATGCTTTAAGCTGCATATAATAAATTGGGCCTATGAGTAAGTAAAAGTAAAAACATAAGCATAGCATATGGCACACTTTGCTGGCAATAAAAACATATATGCTAATTGTCACGTGGTGTTTGAGGATTACAGATTAGAGCACCACACAATTGAAATGAACAGCGCAATTGCAAATGCTAATTTATGCCAGCACCTTGTATCGCAAAACATTTTTCATTAATTAAAATCAGAGTCTGTCTCTGTCGGAGTCGTGCAACCAACCACGTGAATAAAACGGCTAAAACGTCACGCAATCAAAACAAAAACAAAAAATAAAATAAACTGCTGGCCACATTGCGCATACGCCCCGTTGTCGGCCCGCTTCTGAGACGTGCATTGAACTCGCCTTTGGCTTGGGGCTCAATGTGATTTCCGTAAGCTATATTTATATATAGGTACAATAACTGCATAGCGCCTAGAATATTGATTAGCAGTGTGCCCATCAGAAGTTACTAGCCCAAAAGTTGTCAGAACTACACTCAGAAAATATTCGCCCTACATTTTAGTAAAACACCTTTAAAAATAGAAAGTTTTTCTGGCTTTTAGAAATCATTTCTAAAGATTAGAAAAATAAATTCTCATATTTAGAAATGCTTGGCATAAGTCGACAATCGCAGAAATGTGGCAACTTTTTCCATTTTGTCGAAATTTTTTCCATTATCGTTTAAAAAACTAGTAATTCAAACAAAAATTTTAAGAAAGCATCCTTTCTAAAATTCACAAACAAATAATGAAATTTACTGGCTCGGCTTTTACAGCAGAGCATATCTATCATCTGCAATAAGGGCCAAATAGCTCAGAGAGAAATCACTAATCATGGTCAAATCAATTGATATAAATTTGTAGACTACGTTAAATGTTTTGTGTATATGTGAAATCTTGAAATACAAATTAACATTTGTAATAATAACATATGTCACAAAAAATCGTATATAAGTATATATAGGCAACTAGAAAACAATAGCCTGAAAATTAGACATGTTTTTTTTTTATAAATTTTGGAAAAATCCAAATGAAAGCCACAACCATAAATTTTGAAATATCATTTTATGAGTTAGTCTTGGCGCAAAAAGAATTGCGATTTACTCAAATTTATGGCGATTTGTTTTTATGAGTGCATTATACGTGCCATATCATGCCATATCATATCAAATATTCCGCTGTCTTTCTTGGGTATGTTGGAAATGATGTTTGTATTCTGTTTTGATTTTATCAGACTGCATGACACATCAGTCGCCCATTAATGGTTCAAAGCAATATTGTTGGCAGCAGCTGACTCGATGTCGTCGTTTGTTTTGCTTTTTCGTTTATCACTCAAAATTGATTTGCTAATTCATGTTGCTAGTGGGCAATTCATTAACACGCCAGTTGTGTGTGCCTGTGTGTGTGTCTCTGTTGTGTGTGCCTGTGTGTGTGTGTGTGTTGTGGATGTGTGTGTGTGTGTGCCCATAAATTGGCTGAATGAACGTAGTTTAGCGCCACTTAGCAAGCAAGGGGTGCTTAGTAGTTGAGTCTCCCTAGGTAAACCGAAAATAGCATACACTTGCAGATCTAAATTCGATTAGAAATTAAAAAAAAAATAATTGATTGGGTGGTGGTATTAACACTAGTAACTGATGAATTTAAGCGGTATATAGTACATTGTAAATATATACAACTGATATGGTATAATAAAACTGTCTGACTGACTGCAGCAAAATGAGGCAATCAAATATTAAAGCCAAGATAAAGGTATCTTTTGACATAAAAAAAAGAAACAAATACTTTTTTTTTTAAATTACAATTGCTTAAATATTGAAGACCTTTAATTAAACAAAATTGTTTTAAATAAAAATATTACATACTTTCAATTAAGACATATGTAAAAAAAGAACTAAAAGAACTAAAATCTTTTTTACACGAATAAAATCAGGAAAAAAAAATGTATTATTGAAAAAAAAAGTTTGATAATTATAATTAATAAAAAAAGCGTAAAATTGATTTCGAAAGTAATTGCAACATTATAAGGAAATTAAAAAATCCAGATTAAGTGAG